CCATTTGCATACTCAATTTTCCACTTGGATGGGTCGTGTTCTAAATTGTGGCTATTCATATGTTTGTAGAAACAGCTGGATTTCTAAATTTGCTAAAAATTGGAAAATGCCTTTTTGTTGAAAAACAAAATCGAAGAAGGCAATCTTTTTGCAAATATGTGGCATTTTGACTGAGTTGTGAGTTTTCTAGGCTTTCGAGGAACTAAGCTGTCAATGATGATGACAAGTTTCTGTGAGGAAATAGAAGTCTGTAGCTGACAGTTCTACGTACAAGGAGTCACGTGCCCCCATTAACCCATCATAACTACGTGGTTGCTGAGTGAGAACAGGAGAGTATTGCCAGTTTTCCTGGCCTTAAGGGAACAGAGTTCCCACATTGCCCTAGGTTCACAGTGTGGTTTAATTTATACAGGTCTGGAAGGCGAGCGACCTGCAAGACTCACAAGAGGGGAAGCTGACAGAGACACCTACAGGCGGAGTGCTGTGCCCCGTGAGTAATGGGTCTTTATTAGGGCTGTTGAGGTAGAATCTCTGGATTCTCAGTGTTGGCCCTGGCTGAGGCTCAGCCCTTGAAGATGCCAAGGTGACCAGGAAAGATCCTTGGTTTCAATCTCTAGATCATCAGAACAGCCAGATTCCCTTTCCTTATGTAGGCATTTAATAAATGGGAATTAGAAGGGAAACCCTCTTGAGTTATGGGCACAGAAAACCTTAGTTGAAGACCTTGAACTGAGCGAAACTGACAACTTTTCAGCAAAGCAAAATGCTTTTCCTTGTTCCAGGTTGTGTTCTGTGTTGTAAGCTTTCTGAGGGCAGGGCTCACTTAACTTACCTTCATTGTTTTCCTGCTGCAAGAATCCGTGCAAAACAGTCTTGTTTTTGAGTAGCAGATGTTTGTTTATTCAGAAGATAAGCCTTTGTGTATGCCAGGCACTGTTCTAGGGCTGGGGAGATAGTAGTTTACATAAGAGACCAAAGACCCTTTTCATTGAAGTTGCATTTTAGTGGTGGGAAGAATAAGTATATGTCAGTTGATGTGGTTGGTATGGGGGGTGGGTGTTGGCAATTTTCAGGTGAGTTTTCAGAGAAAGTCTTAAAGAGGTGAGATTTAAGCAAATACCTCTAGGAGGTGAGGGGAGCCAGCCAGTAGCTAGCTAGGGGAAGAACATTCCAGGTAAAGGCCCTCAGAGAGGGCACCTGGCTTATCTAAACGATAGAAGGCTTCTTCAGGAGATGAGGATGTGGGCCATGGTAAGGACTCTAGGTGTTGCTCTAGAGTAAGATGGGGAGCCATTGGTAGTGTTTTGTCAGAGTACTAACAAGATTCAACTTCTTTTAGAGTCACTCTTTGTTGTAGAAACCATTAATTGTGACATAAAAGCAATGTATAAAAGGAATTTCTAATTTCTGCCACTCTTAACACTCCTCTTGTCATCTTTCCTGATTGTTCATAAGTAAAATAGAAGTGACTATTTGCCCTGAATACCTTACAGGGTAGTAGTGAGAATGAATTTCTCCAGCCCTGGGTTCAAAAGAAGTTGATAACTCATACTAGAAGTTACAGCACACGGGGAAGTCAGTTGGGGAGCTGTTTTTAGAGGATGTGACAGTTGGGCCTGACCACAGGGGTCCTCAGGTTGGAGGCAAGTGAGCATTTCAGGCAAGAGCTCGGGCTGTGCAAAGGTGTGGGGATGGGGAGAACAAACATAGTGGCTTGCTGGGTTAGCGGGCAGGGAGGTGAGCAGACAGGAGCCTGTGGTGGGTGTGGTCTGAAATGGACCAAAAGGAGACTGCAATTTTAATAATTATTGAAACCATATTCTTTATATCACCCTTAGCTACCTCCCCTCCCAGTAGCTGTAATACAAGATTTCCTAGTAGCCACACTTGAACAAGTAAGCGGAAATAGGTTATTTCAATATTGATACATTTCAGTATTGAGATATTTTACATTCTTTTTTCCTTAAGTCTTTCAAATCTGATTTGTATTTTGCACACATGTCAGTATGAGCTAGTGGCTGCCATGTAGGGGGTGCAGGCCTGGATCTTTCATCTTGTCTGCTTCTCCCCCATGATGGTAAAGTTGCTTTTTGCTTCTGTGGACTCCCATTGCCTTTACCCCTTGGTTTTTCCCTTACTGCACTCCCTTCGTGAGCTAGGTGCTGATCTGGAGTGGGTGGTAAATAACTCAGTGATGAGATATGAGGATCCTCTGGTACCACACAGGAACGGCATATGGTCAAGGCTTTCTTGGAGAAGTTAATAGTTTAGGTTGTGAGTTTTGCACGGCAAAATAAGGAAGGCTGGGAAGGGTACCCCAGGAAAGGGAGGGATGAAAGGTGGCCCAGAGGTGTTTCTCACTGCTGCTGTACTTTACTTATACTTCATGGGGTGGTAAGCACATGGCTTTTCTGCAGGATGAGGGTCAAGTGAATTGTCTTCTTTTACCCTACAGTAGATTAGATCATATGATGACTCTAAATTGGTGTTTTATTTTCTAGCTGGTGCCGACAAGAAAGCCGAGGCTGGGGCTGGGTCAGCAACCGAATTCCAGTTTGTAAGTATCTCCCCGTTCATGCTCTGTGAGCAGTTCCTTGTTCTGGCCTCAGTTGTTTGGCCCTGCAGGTTCTGAGGATGTGGTATCGTGTTGTGGGTCCTGAACTCCCCAATTTTTCCCCAAATTCCAAATTTTACATTGAGACACAGTATGCAAACTTATTAAATATATGATTACTGAGATGAATCTCACAAATCGCAATGTGCTTACTGGTATTTTCTGTTTCGTTTATGATGGTCATAACCTGAAATAGCTTCAGGAACCAAAGCTTGAGATTGAAGTAAACACTGGAGATTGGGTGGGCTCAAGAACCAAATCCTTTGTCTTTCATATGACATGATCTTAGTTTCCTCTGCCTCAGTTTCTTCATATATATATAATAGAGGTGATAATTATAGCTATCAAGGTAATTGTGAGATTGGCTAATCTAGGTACAGTGCTGGCATGGGGGCTGGCATACCACTTTCAGGGCAGCAGCTGTCCTATGGCAGGTCACCGTAGCACGCAGTTGCTCTCGGAAGGAAAAAGGAAGCATGTACAGTAGAAACAAGCCGTGTGCTGGGCGCTTCCGTGTATGTATATATATGAACACACCCTGAGTGGGTGGCCATGTTCCCATTTTACCAGTGAGGAAACAGGTCTACATACTGTGTGGCCCCACAGCCAATAAGGGGCAGGGCTGGGACTGATGGCCTGCATTCACTCTTCTAACCTTGTACGTTTGGGGGCTTCTCCAGTGGTAATGAGGCCTAAAAGGGACTGAAACCTTGAAAGAGGTAGAACCCGAATGCCGCTAATGTTGATGTCCTCTGCTTTCTCTTACAGAGAGGCGGATTTGGTCGTGGACGTGGTCAGCCACCTCAGTAAAATTGGAGGGGGGTTATTTTGTGTTGAATAAACCTGTAGCCAGAAAACTCGTGTGTCCATTTTGTTTGCATTATGTAGCTGGTTTAAGGGTCGGAACGTAAATGGTTTGGGGAGTTGTCCTTGTCCAGGGTGATGTCACTTGTTACTGCTGCCATGTGCCCTTGTTGCTCTAGCCAGCACCTCCCTGCGGGGAGTTGTGTCCAGTTTGGTACTGCACCGTAGAGGCAGTTGGAAAGCTGGGCATCTTCCCCAAACCAGCCATGCTAACCTGGCTCTGCATGGGGGAAGTTGGTATTTGTTGGCCTAGAATTGAGATTCTGTGCCTGCTATCTGGCACTGAGAAGTGCTGCGGGAGGGAAGATGGAACAACCAAGGAAATGGTGTTCTTAGGCTCTGTCACAATGTATGAGGAAGGTGCACAGGAATGGTGTTTAGGCCAACAATTTATATATACGGATCTCAGGCTCAGGGTTTGCTTGTAAGAATCACAGGTGAGGCTTGGTGTGGTGGCACGTGCCTGTAGTCTCAGCTACTCAGGCTAAAGCAGGAGGATCACTTGAGCCTAGGAGTTTGGGGTTGCAGTGAGCTGTGATGGCACCACTGTACTCCAGCCTGGGAGACAGAGACCCTGTCTCTTAAAAATCACAGGAGAAAACAATGAATTAATGCACAAAAATAGATTGGAAAAGAACTGCCTGGCATCTGAAACTCGAGATTTTTGTCTTTCCGTGATTAGAGTAAATATTGGGCAAGCAGAGCTCTTGCTGTCCCAGGGCTCCTTGAAAAATGAGAATGCATTGCAGTTTTCCTGGGGCCTTCAATGAGTGGTGGTCCAGCGTATGATGTGACAGTGGACAAGAGCAGTGTGACCTTGGCTCGGATGCCAGAGAAGGGTTTTGATGGGAAGTAAGGTGGGGTCAAAAGACCTTCTGTGGTCCCGTATGCCTGGCACAGTGCCAGAAAGCCTTGGAACAGCTCAGGGACAATCCTACAGACTGCTGTGCTGGGCAGGATACCAACCTTGGCTTGCAGATCAGTCCCCATGACTCTGGGTGCTACCGGGGTGGGGTTGGGGGTGGTTAAGGCATTTGAGACACCAGTTCTGGGCCAACTTGTGATGAAGGACAGGGCTGCCAAGGGAAGGTTTTTCAGACA